GAGTAACGGCAGGTTACTCACGCTACCGATATTCTGAGCATAGCGGCTACTCGCCCTGTACTAGTAGGACTCATAGGTAGATATATTTATGCATGTAATTTTCATAAAATGCCTGTAACGTAAATGCACATCATATATCTATTCAGTGATCATTTAAAATACGGGTTATGCACCGGGGCTTGCCTTGGGCAGGCGACGGGTCAGTAAGGTCAGCACCAAACGGCTTTGGGGCTCCCTCCTGCACGAGGATCTCCTCCTCGTACTCCTCAATCACCTCGTCGTACTCCTGCTTGTCGACGGGCACGAAGTCTATCAGCTCGTGATCTACATGCATGAAATGATGATGCAATGCTTAGTAAAATAACAACAACAACTCTTAAAATAAAGGTACATCTGTTTAACCACTAAGCTAGTGCTACTGACCACAGTACTAAGCTATCCATCGTTGCCGATAACAAGTTCGACGTATGGCATACGATATTATAACAACTACATGTATTCTTACTCATAATGCTGACCTACGCTATATACGATAAAGCAAGGGTAATAGCTACTCTATTTAGCAACTCGTTCTAAGGCTATAAAATTTGCAGCTGGTACATAATAACCTAGTGAGGCTACTGTAAAAATTTTATAACTATATCCATCACCATTTTACCACAAAAATTCCTACAAATATTAATCTACATAATACTAAGCTCTTTAGTTTGAATTTATGAACCTACCATTGTTACAGCTAACTGTAATCTCACTACACTAACAAGTAGATGGTAATTTTGCAAACCTAACAAAATTAGTTTTACTATTTTTGGACCACTACACAATTTACTACAAATTATCAAAGTTTAGCTTAAAAACTAAATTGAATAAGCATTAACAAATTCATTGGAAAAATGAATCTGCTTTCGATTTCGTGGCCCACGCGAGCGCCGGCTCGACCCAACCCGGCTTCCCACCTGCGCGCGCATGCAGCCATTGGCGCGGCCTAACTTGGCACAGCCCACGCGCGCCAGCGGCCCACGGGGGAGAAGACCCGCGCACGCACCACATCATGCAAAAGAGCCCTCGGGTTCCCATCAAATAGCAACGTAGTCCATTCCACTATTCCCTCCTCTCACTGACTCTAGCACTTAGCCCCTTGGTTTACTTCAACTTCACGTCGCGACGCCCCTGGCCGGACTTAACAGAGCCGCGACCTCACCTGCCAAACGCTGGCGAGCACCGACCACTACGACACACACCAGCATCCCCACGAGCTTCCTCGTGCCACATAAAATGGATTGAGGTAACACACGCCTAGAATGGCGCACCACGTAGGCGTGGCCACATGCCGCAGCGGTGACTGGCAGCGGTAGCCCAACGTCAGAGAAACCACCTATTCGAACGCCTCTACTACTACTCGGTGACCATCTGTAGGATGCATTGAACAATGTAGAAGTCCTAGTTGGTCCGCTACTACCTTCAAACACGTCGGCCACAGAAACAACATCTACCTACGTCCGTCGGGGTCGGCCACGCGCTCTGGCGAACTTCTGCCCTAATCGAGTCAACCAGCTACTCTAGGAGTAAGAGGACCTCACCAGCGGTGTGGCGGACGGACTGGGTGAAGGCACGAGGCTGGGCAAGACAGCCAGCCACGAACACGGGGTGACTCTGGTGACCTGCTGCTCCGCCGACGAAACCACTGCACAATAGCGATAACCAAGTCAACTATTACTCAAGGCACAGCCTAATTGAAATGGCGAAGCACCCCACGATGCTCTGGCCATGCGCCCGCTCTGGCGGCCATGGTGGACCGCCGCGAGGGAAACGCCCCGCCTCACCTTACTGAAGGCCGAACGAAAGCCAGGACGGCTTCACTCACACGCTAACTATTCGGGCGCACAGTGGGCATGGTTAATTGGAAAACGGTGGAGTGGTTGAGGCCAATTGCAGTGGCGACTCCTAAGGACTTATGGCGGGCGGCGATGGTAGAATTTCAAATTGGCGCCCCTCCCTTGTACCACCACCACAGTGACTAGTTTGGCACGACGCCGTCCTTCCACTCGACCACCACACGTGCATGATACACAGAAAAGGGGCAGCGCATCGATTTGGCTTTGGCATGGCTCGGCCGGTCGATGACCTTGCAGGCGACGTGACTGGCGCCTTTGGCGTGGCCTCGAGCGCAAGCGTGAGAACGAGACAAGGCGGATGAGCCCACGCGCGTGCACAGCTGACGTCCATAGGAGCAGTACCAGGACGGCAACGCCGGACGACACGCAGTGCGAGCGACGCGACGCAACGCGAGCAGCAGCCATGGACGGACGCGCTGAAGGAGGAGCAGAGCCGCCAGGCATGGCCGGGCCCAGCGCGCGCGCGTGTCGTGTGCTAGCGCACGACAGCAGGAGACCCAAACCAGCAGCGTAGGGCCAACGCGCGGGTGCACGCGCACAGGCACGACGGCGACCGATGCGGGAGCGTACGCGGCGAGCCAGTGCAGCAGCGCAGCGCAGCCAGGGCAAGGGCAGTGGCCGGGACGGCCAGTGCAGCGGCCCGCGCGCGGCATGCCGGCACAAGCGCAGTAGTGGCGACGCGGCCGGCTCGGCAGTGCTCGCTGGCGGCCAGCTGCGGCAGCAGCGGTGCCAGGCAGAGGCGGTGACCGCGACCAGCGCTGGCTTTGGTTGAACTATATGACGTGCACGCTTTTTAAAGTTGTTGCAAAATCCTACCCGATGGTCCAAACGCCAAACCAATTCTTCTATACGCAAGAGGGTACGTAGGGCTATCGACCTAAGCCATGACATCTCACCACTTTCTAAGCCGATCGCTCTACAAGAATTGCCAAACATGGCTTCGTCGACCCAATTACAGACTTAACGCGAAATGAATAAACCTCGAACGGTTTCGCGTCGAATTCCAATTCCGAGCTTCTTGATATATAGCCAGCGAACCTCGTCTTCGACCGCACACATTTCATCGTCGCCTACGTTATCAAAGTTCGTACTACAAACTTTATCAAAGTTCGCATAAACGTTCTGTAGCATTTTTGTTCGATAAAAAATTCGCTTAGAATACTAAACGATATTAAGCGACAGGAAGCGTAACATTTGTTTCTTGTTTTGGATGAACGTTCCAAGTGCCGTACATTGATTTATATTTTATGTTACACACATTTACACATAAGTATGATGCTCATGCAGTGTTTTAGCAAAAACTGTACAATGTAACACCGAGGGTGTTACACGGCGTCGACATTGATTTTCTGAAAACCCCTTGGCAGTTTAATCCAGCGCACTGCTGGGCTCCCCACCGCCGGCTTCTCCTTGTTCTTCGGCGTAACCGATTCCAACTCATTAATAAATCGCTCCACAAAGTTGAGTCGAGAATGGACTCTAGAATTGGTTCTCGCGCAACGCCTGCCCGCGCGTACCAAATGTCCCAGAGTCGAACCACCACCCTTGTGAGCTCCTCATGCTTGAGCCCCTTCATCACTTCAACTAACCAAGCTCTGGCATACGGAGTTTCTTCACCTAACCACCGCCAGCAGATAGTGACGCCTAGCTAGTTGCTTCGTCGTCCACAACTCTCCACCAGCCCACCACAATGGTGACGCGAGGGCGGGACATCTGATCCACGTGAGGTTGAAGAAGCTCTAAAGCGAGCTAGGCCCGCTCCACACCGCCCGCTAGACTTCCTGGGCTTTGCCTCGGCCCGGCCCGGCCCAGCACTAGGGTGGAAAAACTCGCGCCTAGTGCAGCTGTGCGCGAGGGCTCGAGCGTTAGAGCCCAAGACTATCGGAGCCGGACCGCTGCCATCGAACGGAGGCCTGAGCCCAGAGCCCATCGGTCTGATGACCTTGTCGCCTTGTTGTGTGGCCCAAGTGCGAAGCGTGCTAAGTTGAACGTGCGGCGGCATCCTGAAACTTAGTGGAAACCGTACCGGCGCCTGAACCTACGAATCTACGATCCCATTCTTGTTTCATGATTTTATTAGTCCATCTTTTTTTAAAACAATGATTAAAAAAAATCTTACGACATTTCCTCCCAACCTATGCTTGCTTAAACGCACGGAATGTTTGGAACATGTTCGCTTGAATTTATCACCCTAGCTTGTCAGTCATGGAACAATATTTTTCTCTCACACCAAATCAACTTCAACCGGCTTATCAGCCGCATAATCCATCAGCTGAAATCTCTTGGGAGCTCTTCAAACGTGTTCAAAGCATAAATGAACCTATGCCGAAAACTTTCTGAACATATCTTAATCCTGATGCCTAAAACGTCATGATCTAAATCATCCAGGGAAAACAAAAATGTGGGTACACTTCATCATCTTAGGTCCCGTTTGATACGGTTCCACTTCACCCATAAAGCTCTTTTTTGGGCTTCAGCTCCATGAACAGCTTCATGGGTGGAGCTGTAGCCGTTTTGATAAATCGTTTGGCAAAACAGCTTCACATATAGTTTTTCTTAAAATATGCTCTCAGAGAACGCCATGTAGAATGAGGTGAAGCCGAGAGAAGCCACTATTTTTAGCTCATTCCCACCCCAAAGCTCTGTGAGAGCACGTTTTTAGGAGCTTCATCGGTGGAGCCGTTTTATTTTACCCCGTTTGACAGAAAACGGCTCCAAGCAGCTCCTGAAGCCGCTAGAGAAGCCCTGCCAAACGGGGTCTACGTTCGCAAAAAAAAAAAAAAAAAAAAAAAGGTACGTACAAAACGTTCACGAAACTCGTTTTGCTGTTATAAAGCTTAAATGAAACAATGATCTAGTAATGCCACGGGAAAATATCATGGGCTGGCACTGGCAGGTGGCAGCTTCCCAAGGCATGTACGTAGAGAAAGAATTATACGAGATTTGATGCTCAGTGAAAGTTGACATCTCAACCACACAGGATTTTATACATTAGTATAAGTAAATCCATGACAATGCATTATGTATAAAGTCAATCCGTCCTTACTTTCAAGACGACTAGATACTAGAAGTTGTCATTTTCTGTTCTGCAAAAGCTGGTATCTATCATTCTGATCCATCAGGGAAGCGTTCAAGGGCATTTTGTTTCCCATTAACATAAAATTCAATCACTGCTTTCATGCGATCATACTTATCAGGATGGTAGTTCAAATGCACAATCACCGGCATCAACTTCCGCAGATGAGCATCTTTCCTCACCGTCTTGAAGAGAACTTTGCTGTTCATGAACAGGTAGATATCCATGGTTCTTTTGGATGCATGAAGACCTTCATAACCAGGATGTGAGGGAAAATACAGCTCCTCATTGAAAACTGCTTGGTCCCATGATTTGGGCTCGTGAGAAAGGCGGTAAGCAACCCTATCAAGAAGCTCAATAGAAGGAATTGTCGGCCTTATGAAAAAGAATCCAGAATTATAAACCCATATACGCATTGTATGTGCATATCTTGCCCAGCCCATTGAAGGCTCATCAAACACATCGTTGAATCCATAAGCTGTCATATTGTTGTGGCCATCACTCATGGATTCTACGTCAGAATCTCTGTAAAGATGATCAAATGGATTTTGGAAGAAAATGATATCGATATCAGAGAGGAGAACACTGTATCCAAGCTGCAAAAATTCCCTCAATATGCGGAACTTGAGTCCAGAAACAGCATGGTTTCCACCTGTCTTGCCAATATTGTCAATGCCATCATCTGGATCACGCCGGTAAACTGGGACATCATTGGACTTGCAGAAGTTCTCTATGTTGTCATCCAATGCAACTACTAAATAATTTGAAAACCCAGCTCGTTTTATGTTAGTGAACCACATCTCAAGCATCTCTTTCACATTAGAGTTTGCCAATGCAACTATCAGTTCTTTCTTCACAGCAACCTGTTCCAATATGTTGGCCAATCTGGGATTGATGGATAAATCAGGAATAACTGTTGGATTTGTTCTCAGAGCTTTCACTGTACCAAATGGACCAGCCTTATACAGGGCCTCATTTTTCCCTTGTCCAGCCAATTGAAGCTTCATTGACAATTCATTGATCTGCTTCTTGAATTCAGCATTTTTCCTTTCCAACAATACCAGCCGTGACTTTAGTCTGCCAACTTCCCGAGATGTATCACAGGCAACTAATTCAGCCTAAAGATGAAAAATATAATTGTAAAGCCAGTATATGAGAACTAAGAAAATGGTCTGTACATCATTATATGAATCCAATTGATTTCTTAAAAAGATCAGCAGGGAAATTTAAACATATAAGCTATGAAAAAGGATTTTAGTTTGCTATCTACATGACGCTAACCAAAATAGTTCTAGCTTTCCCTGTAATACCCGGGGCAGGGTTGACAGAGGAATGATTGCACCTTGTGATGAAATGATTATACGACTATCAGGTGCAAAATAAGTTTCAGGATTTCTTGGTTATATTTGTATTTCATAGACATTTTGCATTTACCAAGAAAGAGAGCAGTATAACAGTCTCTTGATGAGAAGTTATGATTTGAAAGTTGAGAACAAATCGGCTACAAGATCCAAACTATTTTTTTTAGATAAGTAATACTTTTATTAAGTATGTACACAGTAAGACTGCAAGAGAGTTCTAGATGCTGTTAAAATTACAAAGAAGACTGTTTAGACATACTCCTTCTGTCCTCGAATATAGTGTATAGAAGCATTCAAACTGTACTCAAATATAAGGGATTTTGGGAGACAAAATGATAGTTTTGCATTAAATAGGTGCACATATGTTGTTAGGTACATTGTTACCCATTTATCATGCAATCCCCCTTTAATCATGCCGGATGACAACGGCTATACATGCAGGAATTGAATTGGTTAGGAAATGAAATGATGGTACATGTGTCTTATGTATTCTCTCTTAGGTCCTGTTTGTTAGAGCTCCATTCCTTGATTCTTAGCTCCAGCTCCTTGATTCTCTGATGGAGCGATTTTTTTATTCTGATGGGGGATTAGGGTGGGGAGCAGGTGAGAATTGATTATGAAGTGATTCTGGTGGGGATTGAATAGGGAGCACTAAGGAGTGGTTTTTTTAGCTCCCAGTGTAAATGGAGAAGTGAAACACTATATTATAGGACAGAGATAGTATAATATCTTAAGAGTATGCTATCATGAAGATGGAAGAAGATACTTTTAAAGCATTTGTTATATCTGCAGTCACGGTGAAAATTGAGACTAAATGTCTAAGTGGTGCTTCTCATGTATTCATGTGGACTAACAACGGTACGAGAACTTAAGAGCACATGAGCACCAATAAATTGAAACTCACACTTGTCCTCTTTACCTTCCCAGGTCAACTGCAATTTGAAGTTAATAAAGCCAGTTAGGTGCCTTTGCCTTGTTAGATTGATCTCTAATCCCAAACTGGGCTCAACGGCCCAGTTGGGCCTTTAATCCGAGCCCTAATCGGGGGCGTCCAGCCCACTATGGCTGGAGGGCCCTTGTCACACTGCGCAATAAATAGAGGTGGGGGCCGGCGGCTCTGGACACGAGGTTCGCCTGAGCCGAGCTCCCCACCGAAATTCCTAATCCGATCTAGAGGGCGCGCAACCAGTGATGGGAAGCCACCAGCCGTGCCGCCACCGGACTGCGTCACCGCCACCGGTCTTCACCGCCGGTCGCCACCGCCCATCACCGACACTGTCTTCACCGACCGTCGCTGCCCTCGCGCAGACACCGACGCAACGCCCATGGCAGACGCCTCTAGATCGAAGGTCTACGATGGTCGATAACCTAGCGCTACTCCTCCCTCTAATCTCTGTCTAGTTCATATACTAGGACATGCTATACATTTACAAGATGTAACCGGCTAGATCTATGACCATGTGATTAGAATAGTTCAACAATGGTATCGGAGCCTCGTTTTCTAGGGTTTTTTAGATCTAGAACGGGTGAACGACAAGAAACAGATTAGATCCGTTCGGATCTGAGAAGAGAAGAGGGTCACCGAACCCTAACCCTAATCGGGTGAAGAAACGAGTAAGAAGGAGGGCTCGGGTTTTAGAAAAGAACTCGAATCCGAGCCCAAACCCATGAAGAACAGCACGGGGAAGATAAACAGTGAAACCCTAACCCGAAACCTATTCAAACCCTAACCCTAGAAAGAGAAAGGGGATGGTAGAGAAGGGGCTTCCTACCTGGAGCCCGGCCGTCCCGTCTTCGCCGCCGGCCATCTCCATGGCCCGCGCGCGAGAAGAACCAGAGGCGCCGACCGGGCGGGTCACGCCACCGCGTGGCTCTGCCTCGGGCTCGGGTGTCAAGGGCACCGCAGCGCAGCCCTTCGACGGCGGTGCGCTCACCCTCGGGTGGACGCACGCACCGGCGAAGGGGCGCGCGGCGGTGCCGCCACTTCCTCCGGCCGCCATGGCTGCTGCTTGCGCTCTCTGCTCTCCGTCGCGGCGGTCAGAGAGGAAAGGGAGGGAGTGAGACTGGAGTTAGGGTTTCGGGGGAGAGCGCCCCGTCGCCATTTTGATCGGCCGATTTCACCGCGCAGCCGTTGGATCGGAACGGACGGCGCCGGTTGATCGGGCCGATTCGCGGCCCAGGCGGGCGAGCGCGCCGCGCGGCTTTGCCGGCCCAGGCCTAGGTTGTGGCCTGGGTGCGGGCAGCGCGCGCGCAGAGAAGTGGGCCGAGCTGGTTTTTGTTGCTAGGCCAAGGAACAGTGCTGAAATTGAGTCAGTTTTTACTTTTTTATTTTCCAGTAAAAATTTATTTCTGGAAAATGGATAAATGGCTCAAAGAAAATAGAAAAGAGTTTTTTCTTGTGGGTAAAATTCATTAAATTGAATTATTTTTCCGCTGCGTATTTAAAGTTGTTATTTTCATTGTTAAATTCGAATCAACGGGAGAATTTAATTTTAAAAAAATAGATATGTTTTTAGTTTATTATAATATTGTTATTATTCTGACCAACGTTGATTAATGGCAATATTATAATGTTATGAGTTTTGTCATGCATTAATTCTATTTCTGCCCAACGGTGATGTAGAATTAGTGTAGAGGACAATTGTATGTTTTAATTTTGACCAACGTTGGAATTAAGGCATGCAATTGTTATTATTATGTTCATGTTCTCACTCCATATGAATTGTGCTTTCAGGCGGATACAACTTGATGGGTTGTATCAAAGAGATCCCCACTCTCAAAGGTGACAACTACACAGAGTGGAAGAAAAAGGTTGACCTGGCCTTCATCTTGGCTGAGGTGGACTGGGTAGTCACCTCACCGTGTTCCACTGAGCCTGTGGCACCCGTGAGGGAGACAAACGAGGCTGATGATGCTTGGGCAACTAGAGAGAGGGATTTTGAATCACAAAAGATATCCTATTACCTTGAGCATAGGAAGTGGGTCACTGCCAATAAAAATATATGGTTGTGATAAAGAACACGATTGAACCTGCAATTATGGGCTCAATCCTAGAGTGTGACACAGTACCTCGATAGAATAAAGAGTCAGTTCACTGGCACTTCAAAGACATATGCTACCCAGCTGATAAAGCAGCTGGTGACAAAGAGGTACTTTGGAAATGGTGGCATAAGAGAGCACATGCTAAGGATGAGCAATTTGGCATCCAAACTAAAACCAATGGATCTAGCTCTCAAGGAAGAGTTCCTTATCCATCTAATTTTTGCTTCCTTGTCTAAGGAATTAAACACTTGTTGTCACTACAACATACAGCCCGAGAAGTGGGACTTAGAGAGGCTCATGGCTATGTGTGTGCAAGAGGAGAGAATGAAAGCTGCCAATGGTGGCACTATCAATTATGTGAAAGACAACAAGAAAAAGAATAATAATGCTAACTCCTCCTCAAAGCCAAAGGGAAATGGTCCCATGCTGCATCAGCCTCAGCAGAACAAGTTCACAGTAGAGAAAGACCAGTGTTTCTATTGCAAGAAGACGGGACATTATAAGAAAGATTGTCCCGATTACTTAAAGATGATCATGGCAAAGAAAGGTGAGAACATTATTACATTCATAAATGAATCCCTGTATGTACAGTATTCGAAATCTACTTGGTGGATTGACTCAGATGCAACTGTTCATATTGCTAATTCTTTACAGGGATTCCGTTCGACGAGGACTACGCAAAGAAGAGAAAGACACCTTAAAGTTGCAAATGGAGTCCGGGCAGATGTTGAAGCCGTTGGTGATCTTTCTCTAGAGTTTGCTGATGGCTTCACACTTTTACTTAGAGATGTACTTTATGTTCCCGCTTTATAGAGAAACTTGATTAGTGTTTCATACTTAGACAATGATGGATATGATTGCCATTTTAAAAATGGCAAATGTAAGATAACATTTAATAATGCATGTGTTGGTCTTGCTATCTTACAAAATGAGCTTTATTTGTTATCACTACGTGATGATGTGAATGTTGTATGCGATGATGGGAACGTTGCGTGCGACAATGAGAATGTATCCTCGTCTGCGGATGTAAACAGAAAACGAAAGAGAGCTCACGATGCGTTGTCGAAATTATGGCACTGTTGTTTAGGCCATATTTCGAGGGTGGAATAGAAAGACTAATTAAGAATGATATTCTTCCTCCATTAGAGTTCTCAGATTTAGAACAATGCAGAGAATACATAAAAGGAAAGTATGTAAAAAAATTAAGAAAGATGTCAAACGAAGCGCATGAATTTTACAGATTATTCATACAGACATCTGTGGTCCGTTTCCTGTAAAGAGTGTGGATGGTTATGATTCGTTGATAACATTCACAAATGATTACTCCCGTTATGGCTACATTTATCCAATCAAAGAAAGAACAGAAGCATTGGATAAATTTAAGATATTTAAGGCAGAAGTTGAAAACCAACACAATTTAAAGATTAAGATAGTCAGGTCCGACCGTTTGGGGGAGTACTACAGTCGGCATATCCCATATGGTCAAGTTCCTGGACCTTTTGCAAGGTTCTTACAGGAGAATGGCATAGTAGCCCAGTATTCTATACCAGGCGAACCTCAGTAGAATGGAGTAGCTGAAAGACGTAATCGTACACTGATGGATATGGTGCGCAGTATGATAAGTTACTCCACCTTACCGTTGAGCCTGTGGATGGAGGCGTTAAAAACCGACATTCATATTCTCAATAGAGTACCAAGTAAGTCGGTGCCCAAAACACCGTATGAGTTGTGGACAGGAAGAGTACCCTCACTAAACCACTTACGTGTGTGGGGGAGTCCTGCTGAGGCTAAAGTTTTTAACCCAAACATTAGGAAGCTAGATATCAAAACAGTAAGTTGACATTTTATTGGCTACCCAGAAAAGTCAAAAGGTTTTCGTTTCTACTGTCCAGACAGACATACAAAGTTTGTGGAAACGAGACACGTTGTCTTCCTACAGGATGAAATGATGAGGGGGAGCATGGCAGCTCGAGAAATTGACCTTGAAGAGAAGCGGATGTATGCGCCCACTCCGATGATTCATGAGCCATTTTTCTCACTACCTGCCGTCGCTGCACCGACAGTGCAAGATACTATGGTGTCAGCACCTGTTGTTATTCCGCCTGTGGCAACAATGAATGACGATGAGAAACCTGTTCTTCAGGATCCTGTAGAACCTATTGCCACACATGAGGAGGAGCAACAACAGCCTCAAACAGAAGATGTGCCAAATGTGGAGGCCCCTAGAAGGTCTCAAAGAGTTAGAAAATCAGCTATTCCTGCTGAATATGAAGTATACAACACTGAGGAATTTCAAATGGAGAATGATCCCACCTCATTTGAGGAAGCCATGAGAAGTTATCATTCATCAAAGTGGCTTGAGGCCATGGAAGATGAAATGAAATCTATGAATGCCAATAAAGTTTGGGACTTGAAAATAATTCCTAAAGAAGCCAAAACAGTAGGTTGTAAATGGATCTACAAAACAAAACTTGACTCTCAAGGGAATATAGAGATATAAAGTGCGACTTGAGACAAAAGGCTTTACGCAAAGAGAAGAGATTGATTACAATGAGACCTTTTCTCCAGTCTCATGTAAAGATTCCTTCAGAATCATAATGGCATTAGTGGCACATTACGATTTAGAATTACATCAGATGGATGTAAAGACGGTATTTCTCAACGGGGACTTGGAGGAAAATGTTTACATGGCACAACCGAAAGGTTTTGTCATGGGAGGAAAAGAACGAATGGGTTGCCGCCTAAAGAAATTCATTTATGGATTAAAACAAGCTTCAAGACAGTGGTACTTGAAGTTTGATCAGACAATAAGGAATTTTGGGTTTAAAGAGAATGTTGAGGACAATTGTGTCTATGCAAAGTTTAAGAATGAGAAGTTTATCTTCCTTGTCCTGTACGTGGATGATATCTTACTTGCTAGTAGTGATGTCGGTCTACTACTAGAGAAAAAGAAGTTTTTGTCCTCAAATTTTGATATAAAAGATCTTGGTGAAGCCTCGTTCGTTCTAGGGATCGAGATTCACCGAGATAGAAGTAAAGGGGTATTAGGACTGTCACAAAAAACATACATAGAAAGGATCTTAAAAAAATTCAGTATGCACAAATGTAGTCCTTCACCTGCTCCTATAGTCAAGGGCGACAGATATGGAGATTTTCAATACCCCAGGAACCAATATGAGATCGATCAAATGAAAGCGGTTCCATATGCTTCAACTGTCGGAAGCTTGCAATATGCAAAGTATGTACGCGCCCTGACTTGGCATTTGTTACCGGGTTACTTGGCAGAATCCAGAGCAATCCTGGAACAGGACACTGAAAATTAGTAAAGAAAGTCTTGCGTTATTTGGAAGGAACGAAAAGCCTCATGATGACGTATAAAAGATATGATTCACTCCATATAGTGGGATATTTAGATTCTGATTATGCGGGAGATGATAGAAAATCCACGTCTGAATATGTATTCACTCTCGCAGGGGGAGCTATTTCATGAAAAGGCTCAAAGCAAACCGTCAATACATCGTCCACGATGTATGTCGAGTTTGTAGCGTGTTATGAGGCAACGGGGCAGGTGAACTGGCTAAAGAAGTTCATACCCGGTTTGAAGGTAGTTGACGATATCTATAGACCACTTAAGTTATACTGCGATAATAATCCGGCAGTACAGTATACTCACAACAATAAGTCAAGTGGTGCTGCCAAACACATTGAAATAAAGCATTATGTTGTGAAAGATAAAGTTCAGGATCATGTCATAAGTCTTGAGCATATAAGTACCGAAAAGATGCTCGCGGATCCGCTTATAAAAGGCTTACCACCCAACGTGTTCAGAGAACATGTAGCCGACATGGGTTTAAGGGAAAGCCTATAATTCCTGGACAAAAGAAGGCCCAAAGTTAAGTATCTGTTTCAGAACAGAGTGGTGTGTTGTAGCTGTTAAATCTATCGGCAATTGACCGTGACGATGAAACATGCTCTATGCGCTAATCTGTAATGGAATGAACAAAAGTAAATGATATGAAATTGAAAGATGGTAGGCTAAGTTGCACGGATACGGATACGCGTATCGGTATCGAAAGGATACGGATACGCGGATACGGCAATTTCCTAAGAAACCCGATACGCGGATACGTTTTACTATTTTTTTAATAAATAGATAACGATGCATATTAAATAGTTGCATCTCCAAAGAGCATTTCCTCCACCAGCTTTAGGCCTCTCTAGAATGGTGACATGATCCCACAGCGGAGACTTGATACCAGTTGTTTCTCTGGACCCAGATCCCACACTACCACTAGTAGTAGCACTAGCATTAGCACTAGCTACACTACTCAAATTTGGAGATGCCATACTGGACAATGAACATTGGGCAGGGCGCACTGGCTCAGCTCTAAATTGGATTGGGGAGGGAGAGGAACTCACCTAAGCAGGGGGCTCCTTGTCGCCGGCGAGGGCGAGGGCGGAGGCTAGTCGCTCGCCCGGACCGTCTTCTCCTGGAACGCGCTCGTTGGGGCGTACTCGTCCTGGAGCGCCGGCGAGGCCTTGCGGGTCTACGGTGACATGCGGGCGTCAGCGGCCCCAGGATCGACGCCCGACGGGTGCTCGCTCGCGTCCGTCCTCAAGCCGTGCGTGGCGGAAGGGGACGGCCTCTGCGGGGGTGAGCTGCACGGGCTGGCGGTGAGGGCGGAGGCTGGTCGCCGGCGAGGTCAGAGGCGGACTGGCGGCCGGCGGGAGGCGGACCTGGGCGAGGCGGAGGCGGAGGCGGCTGCGTGAGACGGAGGCGGCTGCGCGTGGGAGAGACTGGGAGACGGGAGCAGGGCAAGGTGGGATGGTATTAACCTATTGGGCCGGTTGGGCCGTATCCGACTGGGCCGAAACGTTTCCGATCATCAGTTTCCGGCCCAACTAAGCTGGGATACGCGGATACGCCGCGGATACGTATTCGGGCCGTATCCCTGGCGTATCCGTATCGGATACGTATCCGATACGTGATACGCCCCTTCCCTGCCGTGTCCGTGCTTCTGAGATGGTAGGAGATCAAGGGGGAGATTGTTAGATTGATCTCTAATCCCAAACTGGGGCCAACGGCCCAGTTGGGCATTTGATCCGCGACCTGATCGGAGGCGCCCAACCCACTATGGCTGGAGGGTCCCTGTCACACTGCGCAATAAATAGAGGTGGGGGCCGGCGGCTCTGGACACGAGGTTCGCATGAGCCGAGCTTCCCACCGAAATCCCTAATCCGATCTAGAGGGCGCACAGCTAGTGACGGGAAGCCACCAGCCGCACCGCCACCGGACTGCGTCACCGCCACCGGTCTTCACCGCCGGTCGCCACCGCCCATCACCGACACTGTCTTCACCGACCGTCGCTGCCCTCGTGCAGACACCGACGCAATGCCCATGGCAGACGCCTCTGGATCGAAGGTCTACGATGGTCGGTAATCTAGCACTACTCCTCCCTCTAATCTCTGTTTAGTTCATGTACTAGGACATGCTATATATTTACAAGATGTACCCGGCTAGATCTATGACCATGTGATTAGAATAGTTCAACATGCCTATTTCCCCTTTTTTTATATATTCCAACTTGAGACACTTTGCTAGTAGCTGGACTGTAAGTTATATCTATATGAACCACAAATTCAACAACAGGTGAAAATACTGTTTGTTCATAGGAGGATAGACAAGACCTTGCAGCTACAAGAAATACATGAACAAGCAAGTGGTTGGCAGCATAGCCAACCATAGTAGGAAAGGAGGGAAAGGTGCACATGAAGTGTTGGCAATATGTGAATAAACACAAACGAGGTCAGTCATCCCATAACTGCTTCACTGTATGCAGTAGCCAACCTGACAATATTTGTGAATGATCACAGAGCATGGCTGCAGGCAGATAAAACAGAGCAAAGTGCATGCAATACTTGTGGTTTCTAAACCAGAGTGATAATCTTTCAGCTTAAAAGAAAGGAATGGTCACCATTTGGGATGTAACTACTAAGCTAAATTGCTTGCTTTCTCTGAGGCATTTTCTTATCAAGTTTGTTAAGCCTATGTCATCCAAACGCACCTGGCATATTCTCTCCTTGATCTAGTTGGCTACCTCATTTTTTTTATAAGAAAAATTTCCACCGTATTATTGAAGTCTTTCAGCATCCTTCAAAGTATTGTTGTTCTCGTTTAATCTAAACCCAGGAAAGTCCAAACTGTCCACGTTCCCTGCGACTTGGCTGTCTATGATTCATCTATTGCTACTATTTCATTCATCCAATAGGAATTGTATTTACACGGATAGGTACCGGTAGCAAACCACACTGTCCACAAGGAATACTCACCGATCCCGACCAAACATTCAGATCTCCTGCCCTCCCCCAACGAACAGAACGGGATCAAAGGAAGCGGAAACGCGAGTACGCACCCGGCGGGGCCAATGGATGGCGGAGTCGGGGGCGCGGGGGAAGAGGCCGTCGGGGTAGAGAAACGCGCACAGGCAGCCGAGTGCGACGCCGACCACGACCGCCGCGGCGATGCGGGACCCGCGAGACAGCGGCGGCCCGGCCCCGCCGCCGCGCATCAGGGGCGACTCGCGCCGGCCGGCCATCTCCCTCGGCGAGGCCTCTGCTCTGCCCGCCGCGCCGCAGGAACGAGTCCTCGGTTCCTTACTCGTCTCCCCGGGGAGAAGTTTGGGCAAAGGCGAACGCGTGAGCGTGACGGTGACGCTCGATGTTTTGTCGTCGTGCTTTCGGGTGGGACGGCCGGACGGACGACGGACGAACTGATGCGAGGTGGTGGGATTCGTTGCGTGGGACCCGCTGCTGCCCAGCCAAATTCAGCAGATTTTGGGGGACAACTCGCGTTTGTGGTGAGAACGAGGAAACGAATTCCTCAACTTGGCGCCGTCTATACATCAGAACTCGGAACACTGACTCTAGAGACAGTTTGTAATTTGGCACGGAATCGAGTGTACTCCCTCTCGTATAGTGTAATCCTATTTCTTAGTAGACGAGATAATTAGATTATTGCCACTCTAAAATTGGACTTTACAAAACTACCATTTTAACATGGGCTTGGTAAAATCACCATCCACTCGTCCCATGACTAGTTGGTAGTTGCTCTCTAGTTTGGTGTAGTTGTGTAGTTAGTAGCCTTGTGCGATGAAATGTTTAGAATAGAATCAAGTTGCTACTGTAGACTTGTGTAGAGGGCTTACTTGAGTGAACTAGAGCTAGTGTTTATAGTGGCTATTAGGATCATATTTTGTACTAATCAACTTGCTCTAATAACTTATGTTTTACAGACGAAATTCTTATAGTCTATTCATCTCTTCCCCCTCTAGGCATCTAGATCTTTACACGGATGGTCATCAATATATTAGTTCCATGTTCTAGCTTTTCACCATATCATTTGACCCTTTTCAAGGCATGATGATCTTCAACTTCATTGCTCCAAGCCATTTGATGTCCTTTAGTACATGATATCCACTCATTTCCTTACTCTATATATTATTGGATTCTTCATAACTGATATAGATCATAGCTTTATATAATCTCTCACGCTCGATCATCTCTAAGCCCTTCACTAGCACTTCACCGCTACATTTGGTCCTTCGATGCCAAGACCCTTGCTTGCCAATCACCCTTATCCATCATAGCTTAGCCGTGCTTATCCTTCACCATCACTTTGTGCTCCCTATTCTCAATGTCTTCACTTTATCACTTCAATTATCATCATTTTGAACTTCGCATTTCACATTGTTTTCTTGGTGTTCACCAACTTATCGTGCTTATTCTTATGATCATCATTATTTATCAACTCGCAATGTTCATTTATCTTCACATCTCTAGTCGACCCTTAACGAATGCGCTATCAACCTCTATCTTGATGCTATAGTTCAACCAATACACCAACTCATGGAAATAGTTAATTAGTCCCACACATTCGATTGTCATTAACTACCAAAACTCACCAAAGCACACATGCTTCCAATCGGCTAGAGCAACCCCTGACTCGGGAGCACTATAGACCAGTCCATCTAGCTTGCCATATCACTGAGTGTTGCTTATGGGATTAGAGTGGATACCGAGGGTCTAAGCACTCATCAAGACATCATTATAATAAGATCACAAAAAAGGTTCCATTAAGAAAATCAAATTGAAGTAATAGTTTGCTTCATTTAACCATCATCTAAGAGTGCATATCGTTGATCACCACTATTCTGGTTACGCAGATTCAAATGGAGTAATTAAATTCAAATTTTCTACATGAAAAAATTAACATAAACTTTATTTAATACTTATATATGTTTAAGTAATTAAATACTCATTTTGTGCAATGATATATTGTTTTGAATAATTTAATCTCATTTCTATCTATCTATCTATTTTTTTATAAAATTGCACAAAATGGAAACTACAAGTAATAAAAAAAAGGTCTTTAAATTTGTGAGTTGTATATGTAGCTGTACAATAGTATGACCTTTATTTTGTATGTATATTCCTAAAAATAATTTAACTTAAAATATGAAACAGTATACTCTTTTTAGAATTTAAATGTACTTCTATGTATTTATTGCAATTCAGCCCACTACTGTGCAGCCCAACAACCCAACTGGCAACTTCAACGGCCCACATAGCCTACGATCACCTAGTCGTCGACTCTTGATCTAATGGTCGACATTGTGCTCGTGCCGTATATAAACTCAGGTGCCTCCTTGAAACCCTAGATGTGTTGTTCGTCTTCCTTATCTGCTAAGCCACCGTCTTTCAACTCCCCCACCCCTCCTCCTCTAGCCTCTGTCCACCGCCTCCTCCTTCAAGGCATCCACGTACCCCATCCATATCCATGCTTCTCATTTCTTGGGTTGATGGTCAATGGTGGCGCAATGGTGGTAACCATCGGAGTTGATGGATCTGGTGGCTCGGTGGCTCGATTTGCGCGCGTGGTGGCTCGAATTGCAATTGCTTCGACTCAATTCCTAGGTGTGGCCGCAGCATTGAACACTTGGATGCGAGGCTGTGGGCTCCCCGGGACTGGTATTTGTGGCTACACCGCATTACGTGCAAGGCAACAATGGCCCCCAAATGGTTGGCAACGATGTTGTGCAACATGACGATTTGCACGTATGTAAGTTACACCTAAATCCTTCCTGTTCATTGTCTTTGGTTTTTATTTTCGTATGATCAAACATCTTTACAACTACTTATAGTAGAAACACACATTTGTAGTGAGGATTGATATTGAGGAAAATTGTTCTATCCGAATTCTACTTTTCATGCCCCTTTGTGTTCTTTACATTGTAAATCGTTAGGTAAAGATCTTTGATTTTATATCTGGTTCCCCTTTAATTGGCCTTAGATCTATATGTTCATCAAAAGTAGGATAGTGAGATCTAGGCACATGCACATATTTATGATTGATTCATTCAAATCTCCTTGCCTCACCTGGCAATGAAATACAATATTTACTTTGTTGTTTGGTTTTGTGCACTATATTCTTGTCTTGTCTTTTCCTTTCATTTCCATCCTTTAGTTCATCTTCCAAAAAGTGATGTGATAGGTAAACAAGCTAGATTTCTAATGGGGATTCTTGATTTGGGCATGCGAGCTTATTTTACAGGGTGGAAGCTATTATTTAGGCAACTTGAACTCGATTTGGGAGATGTGTAGCTTATTTTGCAGTTCAAGAAGGTACAGTGGGTGATCAAAGGTAGACGATGGAAATGCATATAGCACTTGAGTTTTAAGAAGGGATTTACAATTTATTTATGGGTTTGTTACAATTGGATCTCACGTTATCTGGGTATCTACATCCTAAGGTACGTGTTTCTAACTGTCTCTAGTTGATTCCCCTTGACTATAAAGTACTTCTGTAGAGATGAAGTATACAAAATGAAAGAAATACCACATTAATTTATCTTTAATCTATGCAATCTTTAGCAAAACTTTTGCCATGCTTATGCATCGAACAAAATAAAGTTAGTTCGCTTAGCTAGAATCTCTACAATATTCCTGTCTTTCTCATTTTTCTTTCCATTTCTTTGTCTTATTTTCATCATTTTTTTTACTTGTATGTAGCTTGTCATTTTAGTAAAGAATAGTAAAGAAAATTCTATACATACAGAACTGGGGTTTTCCACCTCACTTTTCTAATCTGGCCATTGGATGCTTGCACAATAAAGTCTTGAATGTATTAGCCTTCTTGACTTAAGCCATGTTTAGATAGATTGAAATAAGTTATTAGCTGCTAAAAAAGCTCTAACTGATCCAAAAAGTCTGGTTTATAGTTCATCTTACTTATAGCTCATTTTGAACTATTCAACCACTACGCTTATAAAAAATAGTTATTAGATGGCTGCCTCCAGCTATTTCAACTTATAAAAAGTTAGCTTGTCTAAATAGGGGATTAATGCATTTTTTTCTAGGTTACTATTTAATCGCCAGGGATTTATATGACTAAGGATTTTGCTGCGTTTATATCATGCACAACAACACCTTATTACTCCTGCATCCACTTATTTAATGACTAAAGACATATATAACACCAAATAGATTCATTGTTTGTGGACATGGACTATTGCACCGAAACATGTGCTCAAAATGGTTTCAAAATTTCTAGCTGATGGCTTTGTGGTTTGCAATGATAGAAATGTCACTGCATTGAATCACAAATTTTACTAAACCGGTGCTTGTCGATTTGTGTATGGTTGTTGCAATCATCAGCCTCTTATGCATGCAAATTTATGAATGAGTCCTATATATTGGAACTCATTTCTGCAAGAATTTCAAAATATATGTATATAAGTCCATGTTCGTGTGGGGAAATCGCAGGGCCAAGCTGCTGAACTCTGAAATGGACAGGAAAAAAGAAGAAAAAAAATAAATCCACCTAAAATAAGTACTTACATACATTGTCTAATGGTCAACCAAAGGCCCCAGTCTTCACAACGGAGACCTCTTGACGGACGCCAGCATAGAAATAAGCCACGCAAAAAAAAAAAAAAATCGAAAAACATTCCATGCAAAAGAATCCGCCATGCATAAACACCTTCCCGCTTTGTTCTCCTCCCAGTTGGCAATCCTGGTTTTCTACTGCTGGACATGCAAGCACACTTCATCAATTGCTGCTTGGATTTCATCCTCTCTTCCCTTATTTGAGTCCCCGTTCGCGACGATCTTCTCCAAGAGTCACCAGCGTTCATCCCAGTTGGAAACTCTCGCGCGAGCGAGGAAGAGGCAATGGCGGCGGCGTCGAGCTCCGGGGCAGCGGTGACCGCGCGCGGGATCCACATCATGGACAGTCCGGAGGGGCGGATGAGCGCGGTGCCGTGGGTTTCGTTAGGGGTGGACGGGGCCGGCCACGAGGAGGAGGACGCGGTGCTGGCGAGGGCGCGCGGGTGCGACGTGTACGTCGGGCACGGCGGCGGGGTGCGGCTGATGGTGGCGTGGCTGCGCGCCGAGCTGGAGCTGCTGGGCGTGCCCTGCGTCGCGTCGGACCGGCGCCGGTGCGGCGACGCGCGAGGGCTTTCGGCCGCGCGGGCGGCCATGGACGTGGCCCTGGCGGGCGTGGTCGTGGTCACACCGGTGTCGCTGGCCAACCCATACGCCGTCGAGGAGATCCGGGTCTTCCTGGAGCGCGGCGCGCTCGTCCCAGTCTTCGTCGGGATCAGGCAGGGCGACTTCGTCGCGGAGGACGTTGTGGAGAGGCGCAGCGACCTGTGGGAAACGCACGGGGGCGAGCTCTGGAAGGCCTACGATGGCGTGGAGGCCGAGTGGAGGGAGGTCGTGGAGGGGCTCGCCCGCGCCGAGCCCGTGGTGGAGTTGCGCCTCGGCGACCTCCGGGACCGCGTCCTCGACGTGCTCCAGATCCTCGGTGCGCGGCTCGGCAGACCGGCGGTGGCCCCGGCCGTCCGGGCGTGGCGTTCATCTGGCTTTCTTTCATCCATGAAAAGTTTAACGGCTGAATAAGGGAGATCATATACTACAGTCCATATATATGAAATTTACAACTGAAATGAATAGTGATATACGAACCTATCACTGTTCATGTAGCTTGTCATTTTCATATCTTTCAATTCCAACAAGTTGAGCCTGATCTCCAACAGACCAACATATTCAGTTCATTAAACTCCTAATGGATGAAAGGAAGCTAGATGAAGAAAAGAACAAGGTCCGGTCAATTTGAGGCTTTTGAGCCCTAATGACCACAAAGTAGCTCAACGGAATATTATTCCTTGGAGAATGCGACGAACATGCAGCCTGTTCGTTTGGCTGGGCTGGTTCGTTGCTGGTTCGTGAAGAAGTACTGCTGGCTGGTTTGTGTGAGAGAAAAATACTGTTCCGACTGAAAATTTACGATCGTTTACGACCGTTTCACCCCAGCCGAACAGGCTGATGGGCTACTATGATGGTGTGTACAAAATTATGCAAAGCTGAAAATTCGGACTGATTCTTGAAAAATATTAGTTGACTCATGAATAGCTAGCAAATCGATCAAAACATGACACTGGAAGTTAGAAGGGCAAAATAAAATGTTTCCTTGAAGACGCATGCTCTCCTACGGTCCTACCATGCACCGTTGGATATCCACCAAGATGAGTGCACAACAGAAGATTGTCTCTCTCCTGCTGTGCACGCAGCTCAGTGCATATGGTGCACTGGCGCACCGCAGAAGACCATGTGCCCAGACAGATGCTGATTTCAGAAAGTATAATGGTAGACAGCCTTCTCACGAGACCTTTCACTCGCCGTAACAACAACACGGCTCATTATGACCCCTGAAATTGTAAAGAATAAAAATTAAACTGCCTTCTCTAAAGTAGGGATTATTGTAGGAATTTTGGTGAAAGTAGTCACAAAATCCATGCGAAATAACTGGGTCGCAATGCAAACATAAGATCCTGATGTGGTCAGCATCCACTGAACTGTCATGGCATTCTCCGTAAAATGTCCTCGCTAAGGGCTCGTTTGGTGCGCATGTATTCATCTCAATCCATATATATTGAAGTGGATTGGAATAAAATTAAACTAAGTTTTATTTCATTTTACTCTAACACATATAGATTGAAGTGAATACACGTGCATCAAAACAAGGCCTAAGTGTACTGGGGGTGTGCTAGTCGCCGAAGTCCACCTCCGGGATGCGGGATGCCGATCATCAGCAGGCCGTGCTACTCAGCTGTGCCGTGGTCTCCTGCCCTCACCACCATTGTCGCTCGTGTCACTAGTAGGAGCTGCACCCTCGCCCTAGCGAGTTCCTGTAACACTTTTGGGTCCAGCTCCACGTACTTGCTGTCGTTGGTCCTGCGAGGTGCGCCGATGTATACATGTCATCGGCCTCAAGGTCACCGTTGACGACCTCCGGGGAGCAACTCAAGCACGGCGCTGTATGTCGATTACCCGACCACATAGTGGGCGACGAGCAGGGGCGCGGAGCACGTGACGAACTGCTCGAGTTCCAGCGCCGCCGGCTCGACCGACACGTCGGGCACCTCGAACCTGAACAGGGATAGGCACGACGCCCAGGTGTGGCCGTCGGCATGTTGCGCCGCGCCACCGCCCCCTGCTCGGCGGTGGCCTTCGCGACGGCACGGGCGACTCGGCCGGAGCCGATCTTGCGGCCGAAGGTCCGGAACACGCCGTGCACGGAGACAGACCCGGCCCGCGTGCTCCGCCGGGCGATCCCAAGGCGTAGCAGCATCGCCAGCGCGTTCTGCTCGACGCGGCCAGTTTCCAGTGGCGCGCGCGGCCAGGTGCAGCATCGCTGCAGCTCGCGCGTCAAACGCTTCCACGGCGTCTTCCCGGCCGCGCACGCGCAGGCAGCGTGTATCAGCATCGCCGTCGGGATCGGCACCGGCGCGAAGAAGCTGCTGGCCTCAAGCAGCCTCTCGGCTACCTTGCCGAGGCCGGCAGGTGTCTCCCAGCGCGGCAGCGTGAAGCACGCATCCAGGAGCTGGACGAGGCCCGGGTTGTCACGAACCGCGGCGTCGTCCTTGGGTGACCACGTCGGCGCCCGGTGCGGTGCGTCGCTCATCATCTCCCGGAGCTCGCCCGGGCTAACGGCGATCTCGGACAGTATCGAGCCGACGAGGGCGAGGCCTAGTTGGACGCCGCACACCTTCTCTTGGATGTCCGTAAGTACAGCCAAGTCCTCATCTCTAAACATGCGTGCGCCCTTCATGAGATGCATAGCGCTTGGCGCGTCGAGGTTTCCTAGCTCGAACACCCCCACCCCCAGCAGGCGGCTGGGGAGCCGCGTCGTGACGTTGACATGGGCGCGCCCGCCGTCGAGGGGCAGGAGCTCCTTAATGGTCCGGCCGTCCCCACCAGTCCCCTCTCGCTCTCGAGGTTGTCGGTGACGACGAGGTAGGGTACGTTGCAGGTGTGCTCCTTCGTGATTTTGCCAATGGCGACGCCCTCGATGTCGTGGAGGCTTCTCGCGTGCTCTGCTGTAAGACGTTGTCGCTAACTACGACGCTCAGGTTGCTCTGGCGGCGCAGATACCGGGTCTGCCTCTCCATGTACCCAGAGCACCTTCTTGTACTCGTGCGCACGCATGGCCGCAAACTCGAGAAACAGGCAAACAGCTGTCTTTCCAGTGCAGACGCGGATCGGAGAGATGCAGGCCATCCATATATAGGTCGTCTTGTGTGTGTTGTGATAAGCGTGTGTTTTCCATTCGTATAACCGTGTAACCAATATTTACATGTGAATTTGGCTTATGGACAACGGAAGTGCCAGCGCCCGGACATATGGACGAATGCCTACGTCTAGATGCCCGGACATCTAGACAGATGTCCACCAGCACGCCCTCGCCCAAGCCTCCATTTCACGCGCCCACGCGGGGCCCACGTCGCCCGGATGACGCCTGCGTCGCCCGACCGCGCGCAGGGACCGCTCACGCCCTCTCGACTTCTCACGCGCATTGCAACATGTGCAACATCTGATCTACTTTTGCAACATCTAGATGAAACACTTATAACATACATCTGAAAACAGTTGAAACACTTGCAGCATATATCTAAAACATTTGCAAAACACCAGAAAAACTTAAAAACACGTGTAGCCATTGCAAAATATGCAAACATCAAGATAAAACACTTGCAACATACATATAAAAAACATTTGGAACACCTGCATATATATGCAACATCCCAATCTAGTCCGCAACATCCAAATTAAACACTTACAACATACGTCTGAAACAGATGAAACATTTTGAACATACACTTAAAACATACGTGTATAGCCCATTGCAATATGTGCAACATCACGATTTACTTTTACAACATTCATATGAAACACTTACAACATACCTCTAAAATATTTGAAATATACGCTTGCAACATGCATTGTATCTTGGTGCAGCCTCCTCCGCCGTCTGCATCGGCGCACCGCAGCCGTAGCAGGAGGCGAGGCCGAAGGGCTTCCGCTTCAGGGCCCGACGCTTCTCCTTGTGCAGCAACCTCAGTGTCTAGCTAGCGGACGAGGGAGCGGTCACCACGCGTGGGCGCGGCGGTGCCCGCGCCATCAGGCGAAGCGGGCCGCAGAGCAAAAGCAGCGATAGGAAGCAGCAGGGGAAGGAGCAGCACGGGGTGACTGTCGATAGTGGACCGGGCCACAGAGCAGGAGCAAGCAGGGTCACCCTCGACGTGCGGAGCAGAGCAGAGAAGGTCGTTCGTATCCTTCTCCTTTCCTTATCCAACCGGCGCAGTGGAAGAGACAGACACGAATAACATAATAAAAAACACGCAGGCACAGAACAAAGATTTATTGGGCAGGTATGCAGTCCCACGAAGAGGCGTTCGGGAGTACGGACGTCATGTACGTAGCATTTCCGTATGGACAATGGCCATAATAAGTTTGCTTTAGTAGCTAAATGCTCGTGTGTAGCTACTGGCATAAGGAAATCATAAATTATTTGCTTCATATATATCCTCGTATGACAATATTGGTGTCGGAGACCTAATACTGGGGTACCCAAAGAGTAAGAGTTAATAATCGTCAGACGTTAATAGTTCTGAACAGACAAAAACGCAGCTACACTTCTTGCCCGAACGACTGAAGATTGGCTCCGCCTCGCCCGACGTCCCGAGCTGGCTCCGCCTAGCCCGACGTCTGAGAGCAGGCTCCGCCTCGCCTGATGTTCCGGGCTGGCTCCGCCTCACCCGACGTCTAGGGGCAAGCTCTGCCTTGCTCGACGTCCGAGGGTAGGGCTCTGCCTCACCCGACGTTCCGGGTTGGCTCCGCCTCGCCTGACGTCCGAGGGCAGGCTCTGCCTTGCCTGACGTCCGAGGGCAGGGCTCCACCTCACCCGATGTTCTGGGCTGGCATCGCCTCTCCCGACGTCTGAGGGTAGGCTCCGCCTCACCCCATGTCCAAGGGCAGGCTCCGCCTCGCCCGATGCCTGGGGGAAAGCTTTGCCTCGCCCGACGTCCAGGGCCGGCTCCGCCTCGCCCGATGTCTGGGGGCAAGCTCCGCCTCGCCTAACGTCCGAGGGCAAGGCTCCGCCTCGCCCGACGTCTGCGCCCTGCTCCTTCATAATGACGAGCACAGGGTAAGACAGGACACTCAAGTAAACCATAGTATCGAGGACCATACCCTGCACGTCTGTGGGCAAGTACCGTCAGGAAATGACAGGACGGACGCTTTAAGCCCTTCTAGGCATGACAGAGTCCGAACAGTGTTGCGGGATGGACGCACGCAGCACCCTCGATGCCCGCAGACGCACCTATGGCGACCCGAGAGAAGGAGCCCACCGCGGCTAGCATCCTCATCGCGGTGGACGCTATGACAGCGGCGAGGACCGGAGCCCAAGCCCTGGCCTGCCGGGCCCTTAGGCCTTTGGCCGGCACATTGTCAATGCTGCTTTCCCGCCAAGGTACCGACCACCTACCAATATTCCTAAGTACTTTGGGGAGAAAAACCTCAAACTTTGGCTCGAAGACTATCGGTTTGCCTGCCAAGCC